TCGTGGTCGTCCTGGTGGTAGTCTCTGAGTGGTACTGGAGGCAGGGAGACTTGCTCCCGGGGCGATGATGGGGGTCCAGGCCGTTGGCTAGATACAGCGTGTGGAGTTCCTTAGCGAATCGTTGATTGTTTGGTCCGGCAAGCCTCTCCGCTAGTCGAATAAGACCAGGGATAATGTCTGTATATGATGCAAGGAACTGTGAAGGTGCTGGATGGTCCTTAGATCTCCGGTGTAGAGGCCGGGTGGCCTTTTGGGAGGAGCCACTGTTAGGTAGGACTGGAAAGTCTTCTGGTAGGTTGGTGGAAGCTGAGGTTCTGGGTTTAGTGCCGGTGGCTCTGGCGGCGGAAGCTTATAAGATTGGTTGATAAAGATTAAGCCACACACAATAGGTGGCACAGGTATGAATAGCCGTAATCAAGTTTACAAGGTTGTTGTTGTTGTTTAAGATTCAGCTACTGGGAACAAAAAGTTCCAAGTAGCACGGGCTATGGTGAGCCCGTAGTGGACTAACCTCCCTGGAAACACAAACCGAAACTCTCTCTATTTACCGCTTGTTACAACTTGTAATAAAGTTGTTACATCTTGGCTTAACGTGTTTATGACGTATTAAAACGTTGTTACAACTTGCTATATTGGTTGTTATAACTGGTTAGGTGTTAAAACTTGTTCGAACGTTGTACCAACGTCGTAGTTTCGGTGTGTGTTTGGCGGGCTGGCACAGGAGCGGAAGTGTTGCCTGACTCCAACCTCTAGTTATCAACCAGGTATTACATCTTCCTTCTTGGTCAATGGAGGACCATCGAACAGCTGTATGCTCAAAGCCGAATTCCTCAGGATGTCGATTACTAGTGTCGGCTCCCGAATAAACACAGCCTCCTACAGACGAAGACTCCTACGATCGTCGGTGCGTGTGACTAAATTAAGTGATCTAGTGTTTCTTCATCCTCCAGATGGTAGAAGATATTTGCGTAGAATGGAAAATATTCAAAAGATATATGACAGTGTCAGATCACGAAGGAAGAATTGAAACAGGAATTTCCTTAAGTACTTTCGCATTTAATAATACGTCTTCAGAAGGGTGAAAGATATCTTTTGATATATATATATATATATATATATATATATAATATATATATATATATATATATATATATATATATATATATATATATATATATATATATATATATATATATATATATATGTCGTACCTAGTAGCCAGAACGCACTTCTGAGCCTACTATGCAAGGGGCCCGATTTGCCTAATAAGCCAAGTTTTCGTGAATTAATTGTTTTTCGGCTACCTAACCTACCTAACCTAACCTAACCTAACGTTTACGGCTACCTAACCTAACCTAACATATACAGATAGGTTAGGTTAGGTTAGGTAGGGTTGCTTAGGTTCGGTCATATATCTATGTTAATTTTAACTGCAATAAAAAAAATTTGACCTCATACATAATGAAATGGGTAGCTTTATCATTTCATTAGAAAAAAAATAGAGAAAATATATTAATTCAGGAAAACTTGGCTTATTAGGCAAATCGGCCCTTGCTATATATATATATATATATATATATATATATATATATATATATATATATATATATATATATATATATATATATATAATGTCGTTCCTAGTAGCCAGAACGCACTTCTTGGCCTACTATGCAAGGCCCGAATTGCCTAATAGGCCGAGTGATTTTCTTTATTTTCAATAAATTGTTTCCAATTAGTCTATTTAAATTATTATTATATTATAATAGGAACATAAATTATTGACTTAGTTGTGCTAGAAGGTTGCAAGGTTGCTTAGTGCTAGTTGTGCTTAGTGCTAAAAGTTTTGTTTGTAGATATATAGCCGATTATAGCATAAAGACTTATATAAATGATTCTAGAACCAATCTTCTCTATATATCTTATGATCATTTTCACTTGAGAAGTTGAGAAATTAACTCTTCAACGTTCATTTTGTAGTTGTGTCTGACCTGACCTTGCGAGATGCATCCCTTTGAACCTTTCACCACTTTGGAAGATAGAGGTGAAGTGTGTGCACGTTAGCTTTAACAACCTATCGTGAAATAAATAAGGTTGAGTTTAGGTAAGGCGTCTCATGGAGAGGACAACACCTCTTTCAAGGCGCCTGACAATGAACAACACGGCCCCCCATCAAGGATAGTCAACCCGAGATATCCTCTCCAACAACACCGAAATAATTGACAGATATAAAGACTATAGAAGATTAGACATTGGCGAAGCTATTCATATTAAACTATCACTTCATAGCCGAGAGCCGGTCGGCCGAGCGGACAGCACGCTGGACTTGTGATCCTGTGGTCCCGGGTTCGATCTCGGGCGCCGGCGAGAAAAAATGGGCAGAGTTTCTTTCACCCTATGCCCCTGTTACCTAGCAGTAAAATAGGTACCTGTTAGTCAGCTGTCACGGGCTGCTTCCTGGGGGTGGAGGCCTGGTCGAGGACCTGGCCGCGGGGACACTAAAGCCCCCGAAATCATCTCAAGATAACCTCAAGATAACTTCAATATTAACAGCCAGTTCATATCACGGCTCATTCGTCCAATTTTAAAAACAAGGCAGAATATGCAGCACACTGCCCCAGCCATCAAAACAGAACATTATTATAAGTAAGGAAAATGGAGAAGGCCAGCTATTGGCTCATGCGACACCTTACTTAACCTCATCCGTCTTGAACAAATGGACAAGGGCCGTGACGAGGATTAGAAACCTACGTTCGAGAGCATCCCAGACACTGCCTTAATCGACTGAGCTACGACATGGTATAAAAATTGCAACCAGAAATTCTACTGAATTTAATTGGATCCTGCAGCCTCTCCGAGACCGCAGGCTCCGAGACCGAGACTTTTCATCTATTGTGATTTCTGTGTGTCATCCATCTTGGTTGTATATCCGGCTGCTCCAGCCAAATTTAGCCCATCCTCCTGTTTAAAGAGTAGTTATAGCCCCAGTGTGCACCATCGTACATATATTAACGTAATGGACAATTAGAGTGTAGAATTTGGTACTAGTGAATTTGGACAAACCGAAAAAAGTTTTGCATTTATGTTGTTAATGAAACCTAACCTAACTATCCTAGGCCTAATACACGCTGAGGCCTAAAATAGTACATGTATGTGCTATACTAGGCCTAGTATATTTAAGTTTGGTTTTCAGCCTTATTTTTATCTCCGGCCTCTGTAGAGTGAATAGTACACAATTCTGCTATCTAATTTTACATTACGTAAATATATTTACGAAGGTCCACATAGAAAATCAGTAGGAGCCGTGAGGAAGATTCGAACCTGTGCTCCAAGTACTGATTTTCTCATTGATACATCCCGCTAATGTGATTTCTTGGCGCATAGTCCACATAGTTATACAAAATACTATCTAAACCAGAGGCAAGGCTGGCCAAATGGTTTTCACTTGTATTCTGGCTTTGATAAATGTTGACAGGGACCACGAAACGCATTTATTAACGTCAGCCTATAATAACTCTGAATAACTTTGGAGAGTTAATTTTCCAACTTTCCAATTTCTGCATCACAACAAGTGATGCAAAACGTAAGAAAAATAGATTCGTGCTAGTATCCTTGATCTCACACTTTCTGTTATATTCAGTAACATTATATATATATATATATATATATATATATATATATATATATATATATATATATATATATATATATATATATATATATATATATATATATATCAGCCCACTTGTGTTGCTTTAACAAACTAAACTAACCTCCTAACCTCCCTAGCCTTATAGATTGTATCTGAGACCTAATATAGTATATATGTGTGCTATACTAGGCCTAGAAATATTTGTGTTTTAGCTACAATAATTTTAAATGAATTCCTTACTAGTCAGTTTACTACTATCTAAAAGCTAAGAGCGTAAGAAGTCTGACTATTGATGACCGTCACAATAGGTACTATCGAAACAGGAGGATGGGTTGCTATATATACATATACATAATAGCTATTAGCCACCATCGCACTACTTCACCCAATAATAAATGTTATATATTTTCAAATATTTCTTTCAAAAATAGTTCGCCCGTAATAATATTTACATTATATTGATATCATGAATTTCTAACTGAGCTAGGTCTGTTTTTTAATCTGTTTGACAGTCCTGAGAAAAAATCGCGCTATTTGGCTCAAGTAAATTTGTAAATTTAGTTTTGGCTCAAATAAATATGAATATTGGAAATTCAAAATAAATAATCTACCAATTAAGAAAAATTCAGCTTTTTGGGAGAGCTATAAGAAATTGTTTAATAATATATGAAATTCATGAAACGCGATGAAAAGTAACGCAACAGAACCAAACTGACCAATCATGCATAACCAACAGTACACAATGGAACAAGTTTGTTTCTCAATACAATCACTTGTCATAGATTTCATTCCAGAGATTAGACCATTATCACCGCTGACCTTATTCGTTATGAACCAAAAAATAAATATACCCTTCAAAGCATCTTCACTGTTCCATAATTACGTTGTCATAACAAGGAATGTGTTCTCCTTCGTGTAATTCAGCATCACTGTAAAAAAGAAGCGAGAGGAACACTTAGGATGAGACGACCTAGAGACCATAATGTGCACGACCCTCAAGGAAAGCATGACTAATCGTCAATATACAAATAATGTAGAGGTTTAATATGAAGCGTGACCTCCTTTCCCTGGAGCCGTGGGGACCCACAAAGGACAGGTGTCGCGTGGAGCCAGGTGAGGGAGTCATATTTCTGTTTTATAGCTCTTGTAAAATTTATCAAATTCATAAGAAAGGGTTTGATTAGGCGCAAGCCGACTGAGGGAGTTTCGAAATCCTGTTGGCGGCAAGTCGCTCGCTCTATTGAGAACTGCAACAAAGAGCATGAAATTAGTGCTTGGAGTCAACTGGCAACCGATCGGGACGCTGTTTCTCCGCCTATATATATCGAGGGTGTAAACTGCTCGAGGCATCAGTTTCCTCAACACGCTCACTCAACATGCAGCTTGTAAGTAAAAGATGCTTGGGATGAGCATTTCTCACACCGGCGCTTGTCTTTATACGGGTCTAGTTGGCCAGGCTGAGGAGTCTCACTACCTCTTGTGTGCGTGTGTGTGTGAGCGAGCATGCGGGCGGGGCTCGCCTGGGCTGCGGAGCCAGTCTGCCTCACGAGGTGTCTTGACGAGTGTGAGCAGCGGCATTTGAGTAATCCTTTGACGCGGCTGTATACAACATAGTCTGGGCGGCTGAGTGTTATTCAGCTCTCAATCTGTCAGCGCCGTCTCTGAGCACATTGAGACAAGTTCCACTATCTCTTAACCCGCGCTTTAACGAACTTGGATAGTGTGCTGGACGGGGTTCGTTATCTGTTCTCTGGTGAGTACAAGGGTTAAACAATCATTTTCAGAGAAATCTTGTCATCTCCAAACGTTAGTTTTATCTAAGATCGTGGGATGGCGTGGTTTCAAGGGCCCCCAATTATCTTGACGGTCTTACGAGATAGTTCCAGGTCAATTCTTTACGATTGGTATTTGTTTCACTCGAAAGGATACGGTGGATGGGTCCGGCAGGTATATTTGTCAAGTCTCCAGAGTGCAAGTTGCTAATTATCTTGTCTGGCGCTTGAAATACGTGTATTCAGAATATTTATGAACGGAAAGTATACTACTGTTGCCGTTCTTCAATATCCTCTCAGTTTTGAAAGTAATTAAATAATTTTCCATTAGAGTCGAAATTTCAACTCTTTTTTTTTTCAAACTGCAATTAATATTTCTAAATTTGCGAGTGCAATTTTTTTGTTTAATACATTGTCCCCATTGTCTCTTTGAACAACAATGCTATGGGATCTAATTCCTCGTCGCTCTGAATTCATATTGTTGATATGGGATCTAAATTCTCATCTTTTGCCAGCCATGTCATCGGTACTCACGCGGGGGCATAAGGCTGTGGTTAAACTTGCCCTGTCAATCATATGATCATATTGGCTTAGCGCTTTGTTGGTGCAGACCACGCCAGCCAGGAGCGTTCTTATGTTATTTTTAATGTAGGTCAATTTCTAAGCACGATCACATTATTCACTCGAATATTTCGACAAATGGAACTCTTGAGCCGATATTTAGACTTAATTGGAACAGGATTTTCAGTTTCTAATTATTATTATTGCACCTGACTTAAAGGTCACTGGCGTACTGTTATATATTGGTTGGTAGAGACTGTTAGGTCTTATATCGCTAACGTAATAATCATTTCTGCAAATTGAGGTTTTTACAAACATTAAAATAAATATTTAAATAGAGCTAAGTATTAATTACTATAATACGAAGAGAAAACTCACATATTCGGTAAAATAAAATAAAAAAAAGAGGTAAATATGAACGCTAATTTCGAGACGAAGATATAAATATATATCTTGATTTTTAAGTTCGTGTTCCACTTTCACATCAACCAGTTACTATTCATCAGGCGGCCCAGTTACCAAGTTACTTTATGAAGACTGAGAGCATTTTCAACAAATATATAATGCCTGTTTGTTTCGTTGTGTGTCATAGCAGGAGAAGGCGTTTTTACGGTCCGTTACAAGATACTTATGTTTTGAGTGAGAAGAAATTAGTAAAATATTTATAGCTGATTTGTTTCATTATCGTATGTTACTGTACGAAGTGGCACATGTCAGGTTAGTTGTAGGGGACAATACTGGCGAGATGATAAGTGTTATGAGCTGCACTGACCGCTTATACCACCACAACCACTACCACCATCAGCACCACCACCACCACTATCACCACTGCCACCATTACCAGCATCACCACCACCACAATCAGCAGCAGCTCCACCACCACTACCACCACGGCCACCATTACCACCACCACAACTACCACCACCATCAGCAGCACCACCACCACTACCACCACTGCCACCATTACCAGCATCACCACCACCACTGCTACCATTATCAGCATCACCACCACCACCATCTCTACGACTACTACCACCATCACCACCACGACAACTACCACGACCAACACCACTACCACCTCCACGGCCACCACACTACCACCATCACCTCCACGACCACTACCACCACCACGACAACTACCACGACCAACACCACTACCACCACCACGACAACTACCACGACCAACACCACTACCACCACCACCAACACCACTACCACCTTCACAGCCACCACACTACCACCATCACCTCCACGACCACCACACTACCACCACCACCTCCACGACCACTACCATGACCGTCACCATTGCCGTCGCTGTCTCCACAAGGTGTCACAGGACTTGGCTCATCAGCAAGAATCACCAGGATTCTTGCTGATGTTAAGGAGGATGACCATTCGTGTGATTTCTGATACGAATTCTATGATAACTATCACGAACATTGGAAAACTTGGGTGTAAGCGTGTTAGGTTACACTGTTTTATGCCACCAAAGCAACGGTATTGTCCAACCTTACTCTGAATTTCCTCTTTCGTGAAAAGACTTCATCTTTAGAAATATGTTAACGTTAAATCTCTATTCGGAAATTATCATATAACCCTTATTTTACTGCTTTGACAAACATAATGGTATTAAGTTACGATGATAAATTGAGCTGCAAACAGCATGTACTCAACTAATTGTACTTGCGGGGGTTGAGCTCTGGCTCTTTGGTCCCGAGCTCTGGCTCCGGTTCAGTTCAATCTCTTCAACTCTGATAATATGCATTGTTATTGCAGGTAATCTTCGCCACCTTGGCCGTTTTGGCCGCTGCTGCCCCTCAGAAATATGGAACAGACGAAAAAGACGCGCCAATCTTGAAGGATGAACGCATTACCGAGAACGACGGAAGGTACAACTTCGAAGTGGAGACTGGCAACGGTATCATAATCTCCCAGTCTGGCTCACCAGTGGCTGAAGGCGCTATCGCCAAAGCTGGACAATTCTCGTAAGTAAATCTATCGTTAATATTAATCATCGATTAAAAACATGAAAATAATCAACAAAACAAATGATTTACTCATCTGATATGTCACGCTATTGTGATTTCTGTGTGTAATGAAAATAATCAAATGGCTCGGATCTTGTTGCTGCAAATCCAACTCACATCTCATTATTTGTTTCAGCTACACCTCACCCGAAGGGATTCCAGTAGCCCTGAAGTTCGTCGCCGACGAGAACGGCTTCCAGCCCGAGTCTGACCTGCTGCCAGTGGCTCCTGAGTTCCCCCACCCAATCCCCCAGTTCGTGCTGGACCAGATCGCCTTCGCTGCTGCAGAAGACGCTGCCCGTGCACGAGGCGAGGCCCCCAAATATGCAAAGTAAACGTCGAACTCTCCCCACGATGACCCACCACGAACAGCGACCTAACTTACCATGACGGACTACACCTGTTGCACATCTGCCATGTTAAATCGAACTTTGTGTATATTAACCTATTGAGATTATTATTTATTATGAATAAAAATTAGAGCTTAAAATATATCGTGGATTTGTCTGTATTTGCCTTTTATGAGAAAACACTGAGAGCCAAGAAGAAGCTAATGTCTTCACGTATGATTGAACTGGTTTCATTCCACAGCGAATAACACAAAAATACTTGCACATATACACACACAAACTAAATATATATATATATATATATATATATATATATATATATATATATATATGAATATATATATATGAGTTTTGAGGGGTGTGATATATATATATATATATATATATATATAGTATACTATGCATGGCCCGATTTGCCTATAGTTTTCCTGAATTAATATATTTTCTCTAATTTTTTTCTTATGAAATTAAAGTACCTAGTGGTCAGAACCGCAGTACTCGGCCTAGTAAGTTAGGTAAGTCCAATTTCACGAAAACCCTAATAAGCCATAGTAGGGTGAAAAGTGCGTTTGGCTACTGAATATTATATATATGTTTTAGTGGCCAGAACGCAGTACTTTTTTCTTATGAAATTAGAAATCTGTCCATTTCATTATGCATAAGTCAAATGTTTAAATTTGAATTAAAATTAACGTAGATACATGACCGAACCTAACCAACCCTACCTAATCTAACCTAACTTATCTTAACCTAACCTAAACTAAAACAACTAAGTCAATAAATTATGTTCCTAATATAATATAATAATAATAATTCCAATAAACTAATTGGAAACAATTTATTGAAAATAAAGAAAATATATCGGCCTATTAGGCAAATCGGGCCTTGCATAGTAGGCCGAGAAGTGCGTTCTGGCTACTAGGTACGACATATGTATGTATGAGAGACCCTGGGCGTCTGTGGTAAACATACACTTAAGTTCCTAAAGGAGGTGGGTGAAGAACTCATTAAGGAAACTAGAGACTCATGGACGGCCAGTTTCCTGTTTTAGCTTCTCTACATATTTCCGTCTGTTTCTCAAGAAAAAAAGCTTTCTGAATTCGGGAGTTACAATTCGGGAATTATATATCTTCTGTCTCTGTCTATTTTTATTTTTGTTTACTTCATTTTAGAACTCCAGTTGGTCGTTAGGCATGATGTTCCTTCCTTAAATCCATGTTCGTGTTTGTTCCAATATCTAATTATTTCTAGGTGTTCAGGTAATCTTATCCTTATCATTATTTCAAGTGCTTTGGAGGGATGATTGCCAGTGTTACTGGTCTGTAGTTAAGTGCCTCATCTCTCTCCTCATTCCTTAATATTGGTACCACATTTTCCATCTTCCAGCAGCGGTGCAAATCTCCCTTCTAAACTGAATCATTGAATATTACAGCCAGCGGTACGCTGAGGCCTGTGTAGTTTCTTTCAACGTCCATAGTGATTCAGTGTCTGGTACAATAGCTTCAGTTTCATCTAGTGATGCTAGATGTTTCATCATTACTTCCGCTGTTACCAGCCATTTGCCAGTCTCTCATCGAGAGTTACCTCCTCCCCCCTAGCACTGGGAGTTGTTCAAGCTCTGTCTTAAACAACTCCACCAACATTGGCATTTGGTTCCTCACAAATTGCCTTGTCATTTCTAGTATGCTCTCCTCTCTTCCTATGTAGTTTAGTCACTTGTTTATTCTCTAATCATTTTCGTACGTTGATGTGCACTCATTTCCGGTGGCTTGTTTGCTTTCCGTGAAATGTAATTTTCAGTACTTTTTATGACAGTACTTCTATGTTCAAATATTCGTTCCTGGCTCTGTTGCATATATTCCGGTTCTCTTCTTTCCTGTCCTTAATATTTATTGTGTGTATGTGTGTTCGCATATTTAATTTCATTAAGGGGAAATCTGTATGTCTTAAATTGGCTATATACTGTACTACAATTTGAGGGTCAGGCTCTTAAACGGCGTCAGTAACCACACTGCGAATCCTACAACAACTCAACCCCAGGCCAACCTCTCTCTCTCTCTCTCTCTCTCTCTCTCTCTCTCTCTCTCTCTCTCTCTCTCTCTCTCTCTCTCTCTCTCTCTCTCTCTCTCTCTCTCTCTCTCTAATATGTATTCATAATCTCTAGCTTAGTCTTCGCGAGATAACATAGTCCTGGTCGACAGAGAAGCAGGTGTACAAGCGGGCAATGAACTATGTTAAAGTTTCCCTCACATTCCACCATAGTGTGTGAAAATTTATATATGAACAACAATACTTTTTTCTTCCTCACTAGATATTTACACACTGCCTGAAAAATACTCGGTGCAAAACTTATTGGTGTGAAAAGGTAAACAAAGTAGCCTATGTTCTCCCATGTTTCCTTATGATGGAACAAGATCTGGAGCACGAGGGAGGAGCATGTCGCTGTGTATTACCACCCTGGCCAATAGTGGAGACCCGTGTCGCTGTACTCCCCTAGTTGTGCTTGCGGGGGTTGAGCTTCGGCTCTTTGGTCCCGCCTCTCATCCGTCAATCAACAGGTGTATATGTTCCTGAGCCTATTGGGCTCTATCATATCTACACTTGAAACTGTGTATGGAGTCTGACTCTACCACATCACTTCCTAATGCATTCCATTTATTAACTACCCTGATACTAAAAAAAAATCTTCGTGTCTTTATGGCTAATTTGGGTACCCAATTTCCACCTGTGTCCCCTGGTGTGTGTGCCCCTTGTGTTAAATAAACTGTTTTTGTCTACCCTATAAATTCCTTTGAGAACCTTGTATGTGGTGGTCATGTCCGTCCTAACTCTCCTGTCTTCCAGCGACGTGAGGTTTAATTCCCGTAGTCTCTCCTCATAGCTCATGCCCTCAGTTCGGGCCCTAGTGTGGTGGCAAACCTCTGAGCCTTCTCCAATTTAGTTTTAGGCTTGACGGGACATGAACTCAACGCTGGAGCTGCATACTCCAGGATTGGTCTGATATACGTAGTATATAAGGTTCTGAATGATACTTTATACAAGTTTCTAAAGGCCTTTATGCCGCTGAGGTTATCCTCTGGATGTAGGCTTCGGGGGACAGGTCTGGCGTGATATCAAACCTCCAGGTCTCTCTCCCTCTCTTTCTAGAAGAATTTCATCACCCAAATGATACCTTGTACCTAGCCTTCTGCTCCCTACACCTATCTTCAACACATTACACTTGCCCGGGTTAAACTCTAACAAACATTTGTTGGACCATTCCTTCAGTTTGTCAGGTCTTCTTGAAGCCTCATGCTGTCTCCTTTTTCTTAATCCTTCTCATAATTTTGGCATCAGCAACAAACATTAAGAGGAATAAGTCTATACCCTCTGGAAGATCCTTTCCGTATTTCAGAAACAGGATAGGACCGAAAACAGAACCCTGTGGGACTCCGCTTGTGACCACGCCAATCTGAGGTCTCACCCCTCATTGTAACTGCTTCCTATTGTTTAAGTACTTCCTTATCCACTTGACCACCCTACTCCTGCTTGTTTCTCCAACTTATGCACTCTTATGGGGTAGTGTGTCAAAGGCTTTCCGACTGTCCAAGAAGATGCAGTCTACCAAACCTTTTCTTTCTTGCTTAATCTTTGTCATCTGATCGTACAATTCTATTAAGCCTGTAAGGGAAGATTTACCCTCACTGAACCCATGTTGGTGGTGAGTCACGAAGTCACTTCTCTTCAGATGTGGTATTAGGTTCTTTCTCACGATCTTCTCCATCACCTTGCATGGTATACACATTAAAGACCTGTAGTTCAGTGCCTCTTGCCTGTCACCCCTTTTGTATATCAGAATTACATTAGCCATCTTCCATATTTCTGGTAGATCTCCCGTCTCCAGTGACCTACTATACACCATGGAGAGTGGCAAGCAAAGTATCTCTGTGCACTCTTTCAATACCCATTGTGAGATTCCGTCCGGACCAACAGCCTTTCTCACGTCCTGATCCAACAGACGCCTCTTTGCCTCATCTCTGGTAATTTCGAACCCTTCCAAGGCCACCTGGTCCACTGCCACCTCTCTTAACTCAAGGACTTCATCTCGTTCTGTTGTGAAGACCTCATGGAATCTCTTGTTGAGTTCTTCACATACCTCTGTCATTCTCTGTGTATCTGTCCTCACCCGTTTTAAGTTTCATCATCTGATCTTTCACTGTTGTTTTCTTCATGATACGGCTGAGGAGCAGTTTTGGTTCGGTTTTGTCTTATTTGCTATATCATTTTCATACTGTCTCAGCTTCTTTTCTCACACTGACATACTCATTCCTGGCTCTCTGGTATCTCTCTCTTTGCTTTCTGCTGTTCTTTTATTTCGGAAGTTCCTCCACGCCCTTTTGTTCCGTCCCTGTGCTTCCATACATGCCCATTAAACCACGGGTTCTTCAATTGGTTCTCAGTTTTTCTTTTGGGCCTGAATAAACCTGTTTACTGCCTAATGACACGTGTGGATGACGTAGTCCATCATATCTTGTACGGTCTTAGTTCCGAGTTCTGTGTCCCTCGGTATCTCTCTTAGGAATTCTTTCATCTCCTCATAATATCCCTTTCGATACCCCAACTTCTTGCTTTCTAGTTTTTTTTTTTGGAAGAATACTCTTAGCTCTACCAGGTACTCGAATATTCGTACATTGTGATTACTCATTCCAAAGGAGACTTCCAGCTTAACTTCCCTTATATCCGACTCATTCATGGTGAATATCAAAGCAAGCATTGCTGGAAGCATTACTTCTCTCTCATTCTTGCCGGTCCCATGATGTGTTGGCCTAGAAAGTTTCTTGTTGCCACGTCCAGCAGCTTAGCTCTCCATGTGTCTGGTCCTCTATAATGGTCTCTGTTTTTCCAATCTATCTTACCGTGTTTGAAGTCTTCCATAATTAGCATTCTGGATCTATTCCTGCTAGTAATAGAAACTGCCCTCTCTATTATATCAACTGTAGTAATGTTGATTCTGTCATATTCCTGTCTGGGTCTTCTGACATTTGGAGATGAGTTATATATGACTATTACTATAAGTTTTTGTCCCTAATTGCTATGGTACCTGTTATGCAGTCAATGAAACTTTCACGGCCCTGGATAACCATCTCTTCAAAACTCCATTCTCT